ATTTACTAAATTAAAAAGAAATATACTAAGAGCCCGTTTGTTTCTCATTTTTCATAGTGAGAATGCATTTTGAAATAGTTGATTGATGAAGAATGTGTAGTTAAGAAATAAAGAAAAAGTTTTAGTTTTACGTGTAATATTATTTTATTAAAGAATGTGTGGTTGAAAAGTAGAGAGAGAAAAATGAATTTTGAAAAAAAATGGGTATCAAACAATGGCTAAGTTTTCAAAATGTGTATCATGATTGATACAATACAAATATTGGTATAATTAAAACAGATATCATATGGAACCAAAAGTCCAATTAATAAATGTATTATTATTTGGCACGACCAGTTGAATAAGTAGTGGATCAATAAGTAGGCAAAATTGAGAATTCAAACGGACATTCAACGAAGAACCAGAAGATAATTTTATTCAATGAATTCAAATATAATGCTTTTTCCCTATATCATAAATTGTTCGATGACCACCACTAACAATAGTTGGACTAAATCCCTGTATTCTTGAAAATTAATTAAGGTGATATATGTGGCTCCATTATCCTCCACGTTGATCTTCTAGATATTATTTGTATTTATTAGATATGATACATCTACTAGATAATTGCACAGTGTTTGAAACTTGAAGTGTACAAAAATTAGTGTAGATTTTAAACTATGAGCATAATTTTTAGACTATACAATCAAGGCATTGTGTCTTGTTTATTCTAGTAAGTCTACATCCCAAACTTTTAATAAGTGCTAATTGAGATGAAATGGTTTAACAATATTGTTTGTTAAACACCTTTAATTAATTTCTAAATTATGACTATTGAGAACAATGCACTTCTTTACTTTGTATCGTGCCAATGTCAAAAAATTTCTCATTATATTTGGCTTATGGTAAGATATTATTTTATTTTATCTAATTATTTTAATAGTGCATTATATGTACAATTGATCTACCATAATACACTGAGATTGAAATAAAAAAATTCCGGGAATAAATGCATAGTTTAGACCCTTATACAATATCTCATGCCCTATCAAGTGATACTTTATAACGTAATTTGTTATTTGTCAATTTGATTTGACGGTTCTCAGCATTAGGAGGATGAATTAAGAAGTTGAAAATAATATACAAATGTATCATTATATTATCTAGATCCTCGTAAAAGACAAGCCGAACAAAAAATTCTAGAGATAATTCATTTAAATACATTTACTAATTAAAGAAATTAACAATATCTCACATGTCAGTTTTAAAATGTTCTGACTTGAATGGACATCTAGGAAGGATAATTATTAACATTATGATTTATAAATCAACGATACATTTGAAGCATGATGACATTCGATTTCAAGACAAAATTCTTCAAAAGAGAAATAGAGCAAACAGTAAAGATGACCCCTCATTAAGGGGTATATACTTTTTGAGAATATATAGACATAATAAAATGAAAATCACAAAAGATCGAATACCTAAAATGTAGAAAATTGAGATATCTCAACAAGTTATGCTATTATAAGAAAAATATAGAAGCGAAAAGAAAAAAAGTTGTCGAAAATACTTTTATACGTGATGTACCACTTCATGTTATGAATAGCAGGAATAGTGAAATAAATTTATCGAAGCATATCGATTGAAGAAATGATTGATCAAATAAAAATAAGCAATTCTAGTAAAATTAAACTTACTAGAAAAACCTAAAATTTCTTGATCCCCAGTTCGAAAATGGAAAGGCATATATTTATGCAAAAAGTAAATGAGAAAATGAAGTCTTCATGCAATGCACGACTTTCAAAATAATAAATTTTGAAAAGATCGTGGTGGATGCAATCACAAGTCTATATCATGTTATCTTGATGATACATGAAATTTGAAATGTGATTATATTCAACTCATTTGATATTGCTATTAATGTTATTCCTGAAAGATCTAATATGCCCGAATCATAAAATTCAAATGATATTATCATGGAGGTAGTAAATATGCTTCGTAGTCTTTTTTCGTGGCCAAAGTTTTATCCCAATGATTTTCCTAGTGAAGTTTTAATAAAGTAACTTTTGTAGCGTACTTAAAAGAATAATATGCTCGCTATGATTTTATTTTATTTTTTTTGAGAATTTTTCATTAACGTATTAACAAAGCATATCTTTTGTGTAATGAATGTCATAATCTACAAGATATTAACTTTTAAAATGATACTTTTTGTTGAACTAAATATTAGTGAACGAATACCGGATTTGCAACTTATCGGATTAACATATATCGTATATGAAGCAGCTTACTGTATATGAAACATACCGTATATATAGCAGCTTACCATATATGTAATAACTTATCGTATATACCACTTAGATACCAGATTTGTATATACTGATTTTGCATATACCGTCTATGTAATTAACTTGGATACTACCCAAAATATGGTACATTAAATTGTAATAAACTAAACAAATTAATCTACTTTGCTAAAAGCAAGGAAAATTTTTTAACTGAGACATGTGTGAATATAGTTTCCTTAAAATAAATTCGCCTCCTCATCGTAAGTGCTTGAGGATTAATTCGTACATCTATCTCACAGGATACAACAAAGGAACAGGAGAATTTGACTACCTCAAATACTACTTGAGCGAATAGAACTTGTGTCGGAACAATATCACCAAACAAATTTCGTAGAGACAAAACTGTATACTGTATGAAAATTTATTCAAAAAATGTTCTGTAAAGTTATGTAGAAACTGTGTTGTGTTGGTTCTCTTCTTGTGTGGAACATTAGAAATTGAGTTGTATGTATAGGCTCAACACCATGAATGACATTAACTAGTATATAATGACAATGAATATTGGAGTTTCGACAGTTTTGAAATTTAAACAATCAATTGGAGGAAAAAAAATTAGCAAAACGTAGGCTCCTCTAAGGGATTGATTTTCACGTCTGAAACTTATCTCGGTTTGATTTGCCACCCTGAGCGCGCACGTAGAGAGAGCCTCTATGCTACACGTTATCACACATTTCCAAAGTGTAATCCTATTTAAGATGGTATTTACTTTCATAATTTTCTTATGTGGGACAAATCTAAAACAATTTCCCCCAACACATAAACTTATTTCCATTGGCACACTTTGAACTTCAATTTCTCATTCACTCGAACATTATTTTTGGCAAGTAAATATATGATTTCGATATTCTCACGGAGGAGAACACGAATCAATCTTGAACTTTCAAAATAACCAACCGGGTCCCACTCAAATTTTATGCCAAATTTACCCACTCAACCCATTTTTCCAACAATTTTATCTATTAGGCCCTGTTTGATTACACTATATTTTCCATGGAACTTGGAATTCGAATTCTAACTTCCACTTTTTGCCTGTTTGATTAACAAAATTTTTCAGGGAATTTATTTTCCATGATTTTCTAGGTACAAGCTGATAAAGCATGAAATTCCACCTTTTATTTTCCCATGGGGTAGGTGGTTTTTGGAATTCCACCTTTTTTTTCTTTTGTTGTTTTTTTTTTTTTAATTGTTGGCAATGTGAACAAATTTTAAGAACAATTGTAAAAGAGGATAGCTCTTAAATTGACAATTTTTATGTAAAACAAAGACAAACGAACACTAAAATATAGATGATTTTTGGATTTTTTTCTTTTACAATGGAAACAAATTCTAGGAACAATGGTAGAAGTAGATATTCCTTAAATTGACAATTTTCATGAAAAATAAAGCCAAACGAACATTAAAAGAGACTTTTATTTCAACATTTTTCACCTAGAAAATTATATCAATCAAACACTATCAATTGACAATTCACAGTAAAACAATTTCTAGGCAATTCATTCTCTGAAATTCATTTTCTTTCCGCCCAAATTCTATATTTACAATCAAATAGACCCTTACACAAATTTTGTATGACTTTCAAAGAGAACAAAACACGATCTATTTTTCAATAGATTATTATGTGACTTGAGACAAATAAAGATTGATGAACATCATCTATGAAGACACTTGAAGGCTATAACAAGACAATACGAAACATACTTACCAAAATTGAATATTGAAGATATTGACGTATAAGACATGTATGACTTGATACAAATTTTCATTTATTGAAATCGGGATAGTAATCGTACTCTTTTTCATTATATCAAATTTTGTATTATTGAATTTTCTTGACAAGATTTTGATGAGATAGTATTTTATTATTTCAAATTATTTGTACTTTTTAAATTTATTTAATATTTTTTTCACGTCGAGTTTTTGTCGGACAATGTTTTAGTGATATAGTTATTATGTAAATAGTCATTCAAGAGAAGTGTTAATATAATATTATTTATGATGACCAATATACCCTTGTAATTGTAACCTATAAATATGAAATTTTGATTATTAACAGAATAAGTCTACTTACTTCTTTGTCATCTTTTATCTTCTTTCTAGTTTATAAGACTTTAGAACAACTAATAATAATATTCTAGAATGATGCTTGTTTTACCGTTTACTTCTTGATGATATGGCCAGCAAATTTGGACCCGTCACTACATTGTTGAACTTTTTAAACTTCTAGATCCTCCTTACATCAATCACCAAAATTATGTATTTGAAGAATATAATTTATACGCGTTGTTGATGTCAAATTCCGTTAACAGTCTGTGTATTTGTTTGTTTACATTATTGTTCATGTCCCCACCTAGTGAAGATTGGACGGTCACAATAATACGGGTCAAACCCCTTTACCAGGCCACATAGGCCCTGTCAATGCCAGGGGGCCAACCGGCCCTCTGTGATAGGTGGGTGAAGATCCAATGCATGTTGATTGTGGCATCCTCTTAGCTTAGTGAATTTGACTGGTTATAGTAATGCAAAAAATTGGTGAACAGATTAAGAGTATAAGATACATACTTGAAAATTATTTGCTCAGGTCAACATGCGACTGATTGAACACATAAAAGAAGTACAAGTCATATATAAACAAACAATATTGTTTATAACATAAGATCAGTGTGCTAGAAAAGAGATAATTCTACTGGGACTTTTATTGAAATTGATTCTTACAATAGTGGAAAACGCGTAAACAATTATTGTGGAAGCATAGCTTCAGCAATTAACATTTGCTTTATTTTCTCCTGCTCAGTCTATGGAATATTGCTTGAAGAAATCAATGCTTGTAACCTCTGAAATACCCCAGAAGTATCCACACCAACTCTGCTAACTTTAACCTGTCATAGAAAAAACAATTCAATAGATAAGCTTGATATTAATTTTCAGATTAATCAAACACTTTTTCATTGCTAATATGAACTCTTCATGGAAAAAAATTAAGCTATCTAGTCGATAGGGAGTTTGGCATGAACCTCTACATGAAAGTTGTTTCTGATATCTTGTATAAGATGACATTCAATTAGTATAATGGATAAGAATAGTATATATCATTATGATGATGGAACATCGAAAATGTGTCAATCTGTATATAATAATGGGACTGGACAGTTCAATTTTTATCAGAGTTGGGGGGAGGAAATGTAGTCTCAAGAGAAAGAGAAATGTGAGAGATAATGGGTTGTTACATCATAGATAGTCCATCATCATGATGATAATTAATATTATTCAATGTATAAATATGTTCATGAATAATTAAGTGCTATTCAAGAAAGGAATATCCAATTGGCAATGAGGGTTGAGAGACATCTTGAAGAGGAGAATAAAATGATTGCATGCATGTGGTTCATCTTAACAATTTAAGCAAAGTTGTTCTAAGCATACTAAAAAAATGCATTCATGATATACATATTTCAAGTGTATATGTATATATGTGGGCGCGTGCATACATATTCAACTTAGACAATTTTCAAATAATCACCTTAGCATGAAGCGTGATGAAAACATTGAAGCCAATATTAGAAAGACTAGCAGTCATGACTTCGGCTCCTCCTCCTTCAAGTATTTGAATAACTTCACCCAACATGAACTTCTTGTTGTTCCCACTTATCAAAACAACTTCAAAGCTACAACCAAAGTCTCTAAATCTCAAAATTGGCAATTTTACTCCATTCATAACTGAATTTCTAATACTATTGTTTGTTTCATCTGCAGTGCTCAAAGCTGATAGTCTCTTTCTACTCTCTAATTGTTCTATTCTTTCTTTAAGTTGCTTAATGTAACTTGCGGCCTGGTCGAACAGATCTTGTTGTGATAAAACTTCCTGCACGTGTATGTATAACAAAAATAAAATAAAATTAATACTATAAAGAGAGATAAACAAGATCAAATGATATTTTAGAATAGTTTGTCAAGATTTAATTTGGAATGTTATGATTATATAACAAGGATAAAACTTCAAGTCATATTAGTAACATGGTTATAACTTGTAACTCCATTCACTAGAATGCAAATGATAAATATATAGATGTGTGATATACATAGAAGACAGGATGAAGACATTACTACAAAAAAATTTAAATTTAGTCATCTCTAAATTTGAACTTATAAATGAGATGATTCAATATGTAATATTCAAACACAAACGATCTCTAAGATGAAAACTAGGAAACATGATGGAGAACAAATATCTAGATAATATTGGAAATTTTTAACATATGCACAAACAAAAAGATCATATAAATCGGCTAGACGAATCATGTTTCGTTGCTCCGTGCAATTTATGGAAGGAAATACTTCTATTAGAAAAGAACAACAATTGTAGTGATTAGCGTCAAGACACCTCCAAATTCAAGGAACAAAACCAACGGTACATTTAATATAGACGATACACATCATTTCTCAATAAGATGATATGCATTGAATCATTGAGTGCCAAAATGAGAATAGTTACAATCAATAGCTCATATGACGATCTAGATTCATGAGTGGTCCACCACATATTACTCCATAGTCGTTGGGCATCAATTAATTTAACTGATCTAACAATTGTGTCACTCACGATACTAAGCCAATCTTGAATTGGCAATATCAATTTTCAACTAAGAAATTTGATTGAAAAAAGTAGTAATAATAATTTGCAGTTAATCGCTGGTTAAAACAATCTGCTTGATATGATATTATCATATTGTCATGTTGGGTGTGTTTTCTTGGTTAGGAAAAAAAAAAAAGAAAGAAAAGAAAAAAGTGCCCTAGAAAAAACCTAACCCTAGATCATCGAGAAACCTATTTTCTTAAATTTTAAACCTCTAGTCAAAGATCATCACAAATGGAAATTCTCGCCAGTTTTTCGGTTGATGATACTAACAAAACTCTTGATTTTCGAAAGTAGAGACTGAAGTATACCTTTGCTGGTTTGAAATGCTGAGAAGGGATGAGAGAATTAAGCTTGAAACACAAATCTTTCATGACAATTCTTCTGTTCTTTTCAATGGTCTTTCTGTCCATTTTATTCACAATACTCCCACCAATTTTATTCGTCTCTCGACTCATTTCTCCCCCAAAATACACACACAAAAAAAATTCACTCAGAAACAAGAAAGATATTGTTAATGCAATTCTTTCATCATGTATTTATAGACAGATACATAGGTACACGATAAACAGGAGACACGTTGAATAAAATAAAAAACTTTTCTTAATTTCGTCAAACGTTTGAGGCCCACAACTCAGATTCCATCAATATATCATCTTATATGAACAGCTGAATTATGCACTTTGAGAGTAGTGTTTAGGCAGCCGCGCTTGCACCGACCAGTATAAACGTGCTTGTGCATTGAGTTTTCCTTCAAGAATTTATCCCTAGAAGTCAATTTTGAAAGTCGCTAATCAAGAATTTTGGCGACATAATACAGTTTTGAAGGAGGATGTACAATTCTGAAAAGTAGAACTACACGAAGCTCACTTCGAAAGGGTGAGAGAATTTTCCATCTGGATAACATCACACTTAGTCACGCGGTCGTCTTCAAGTTTGACATATTTGATGACGTAGGCTGGAGAATAGTATAAATATTGCTAATATTTTTAATGAATTGAAAGTTTGCCTTTGCTTTACCCATTTCTTAAAATTCATTTTTAATCAAATTTTTATTAACTTTTCAATCATATATTTCAACTTTTATGAAAATTTACCAAAAATTTAATCTTTATCCAAATTAAACAGGGCCTTAATGTGAATGCATCTGTTCGGGCAATATATAACTTCTTTGGTATGAAGGCAATTATTCAGGATTCCAAGGGACCAGATAATAGCTGGTTGATGACAATGCCAAATTTTCTTCGATTATGAAGAGGTTATTTCCTTGAAGAAAGGATCGTTACACGCACAAAATTAGATCGAAATCTATGTAGATAGTATTGAAAGTGACTCCCTCTAGCTGGTTCAAAAACCCCATAGATTTATTTTTTTTTTCTTTTTTCGTACGGTGTGAGGCTTTATTATTCACTGTTGTTGATTTTTCTTACAACGGGGTGGGCCATTGTTCCTTTTGTTTACCCTATAAATGAGAATAAAGCGACGTACCCGTTTAAATCACGGGCATGTCTTTGTGATGTTTTGTTCTATTAAACTGATTATATTTAGTTTTTATTTCCTTTGTTATCTTGGGAGACTTTTAGTAATTTTTCTTTGTCTACCTGCTGGTTTCTCCATTATTTATGAGGTGTAAACAAGAGAGTTCTAGGTGATCATATTCTGAAGTTATCAAATGGGACTTTAGTTATATAAGAGTTCTTTTTATTTTTGTCTACTAAACTTTACAATTACCACCTTAACTTGAAGTTGACTCGTGCACAAATGTCAACGAACTTAAACAAGATTTAAATTTATTTAAAGTAGGGATTCGATTCCCACTGGGTTAAATTATGATGAATTTTCTATACGTTACTCAATTGTGATTTTCAATTCACACATGATCACATTTAGTAAACACATAAGAAGTTGATTGTCTATTTTCTTTATCACTAACACAATATATCCTTTTAGTTTAATTCCTACACTAATATGTTGACATGATACCACCAAGTCCATTCACCCTTTTAGATATCTAATTAACCATTTTAAAGCCTCCCAGTGAGCTTACATTATAGTTTAAGGTAGTCAAAAATACTTTTTATTCATACATTCTATGATAGAAAACGAATTATAAATGTCAATTTGACTAATAAACATAATTTAAATTAACGGTATTTATTTATTTTCATATTGTCCATCTCTCCCATCTCGTTAGAGATTGGAAGCTTATGTTACATTATTAGAATGATGAATTAGAAACTCATCCTTCAAAAGTCAAGTTTATATTTGTCCAATTGACCTTGATGTTTCCAGTCTACTTGTAGAAAGGGAGTGGACAAAACGATCTTTGATTACACTTTTGTGCCCTTTCCATGAAATTTCAATTTTTTAGAGGAAACGAAGTATTGAGCATAATTTCGTATAATGTCAATTTTGGGCTGCTATTGCATGAGAAAAGAAAATGAGATTGGAGGTGATAAGTAATCTAACAGAAGAATAGAACAAAAATATAAAAATAAAAATTGAATATAGATGACATGACACTATCTAGAAGACTTGGATTAGTTACGATGTCAAAACTAGTAAATTTGAGCTTAAAAAATATAGGAATATATGGTCATAATGGAAAACGTTTCTCAAAGAAGACAAAATATACATTAGTCATCGATTGATCAATATAAGATTTTAATTACCTAAGTTATTCATTGTTGAATAAAATTCGAGAATACTGTGCAGTAATTTATATAAATAGATAGTGAATAAATAGTTGGTCAGAATTTCAACTTACAAAATAAGCGCAATAAAATTAGAATGATAATGATCGAGGCAAGAGTTTGACTCTTTTTCATTAGGATGATAATGTCGCACTGGTGCTAACAGTCTCCTGACAGTAGTCTCCCAAGATACAACGACCTTGACTTGTAATAGTAGCACTCCAAATTTCAAGAGTCGGGGAACTTACTAATACTTTGATCTCTCGAAAATCGGAGGATAAAAATGCATGAAATTATTATTTTGGACTGAAATGCAAAATATGGAATACTGTAGGGCGAAAGGACAGTATTTAGCTAGAGAGGAAATCAAAAGAAATTTTGGAATGAACAAAAATGGGGATCTGAGGTTTTATTTATAGAAGATGCTACGTATCGCGCACAAAAAATTCACGGGAGAAAAAATAAATAATATAATTAAAATATATTTTATAATTAATAAAATGATATAATTGAAATATTATTTTACCAAAAATATATATACCAATTGGGGCAAGCCCACAACCTGTGCCCAAGCTGAGCTGGGCTGGCTAGCCTGTTGAATGACGGTGGTGCGTGTGTGAGCTTTAGCTCAACCTACTAGCATGTATCCCCTCTCCGCTCCAAAGATTAGTGGTGCCCCACTACTCTTTGGAGCCAAAATTCAAGTCCCAAACTTGAGCAATATAAAGTGGTTTCTAATCTTCTAGTTTTTTTTACGTGGGATTGACACTTTCCAATTTTCCATCAATTTGTATTCTCAATCTATTTCAATTTTAAGTGGTCATCTTTTGACTTTAATTTCTCACACTCCCTTAATTAGTTTTGAGAAATAAATACATATATCAATTCTACTCATGAAGTAGAATACACTTGACCAAAGAAATCATTTATCCAACTAATGAGACTCACTTAAATAATTGGTCAAATGATGGTCAAACCAACTAATTTATTCTAATTTTCCAACAATTCGATGATTGAGTTGTAATCATTGATCGATTCTGAAGTTATGGACCTAATGCAAAGGAGCCGACATACGTTACGAGCAATAATTCTACTAGTAGCATTGTTTGAGTCATACTATAACAAGAAGAAATCTTCTCCATTTATGATTAAAAAAAAAAAAAGTAACTTATATCAGTTGAGATAACATGATAATATTTATTAACATGAGGAGCCGATCGCAATCCTAACACTAACTTGATCAAAATGGTCCTAAGGTGATTTAATCACAATGGTCCGTTCTTTGATAAATTATGAACTACAACAATTCTTATCAACACTTCACGTACATTCATCTAAGATAGTTTATTGACATTTTTATTATTCTCGAAGTCCTTACGAGTGTAAGGCGACTTCAAAAGAACATTCCGTACCTTTAAAATGTCAAAATAATAATGAGATAAGACAACTTCAAGAGAATGTCCCATACCTATAAAATGTCAAAATGATAATCAAGTCTTTGTAGCTAGGTATGGTACTCTAGGAAGGTAGCGGTCTAGTACTCTAATTACTTGAAAGTGTATTGAATTCTTGACCCCAAGACGTATCAACTGTGGCAGGACATATGGGACATTTTTGAATATTTGTCATTTTCTCACATTTTGGCTGTATATAGGGTTCTTCAGTTTAGATTTTTATCACTATATTTTGAGTGAGGGATTTTTGTAAAATTCATAAATTGTTATTGAGTTTTATAGATTTGTATAGTTTTAATGAAAAATTTTCATTGACATCTATAGACTTTTACAAAGTTCATTTAACTTTTATAAACTTTCATTTTACAACAAAACATCTTATTATATCCATGTTTGATTTATATTAAAATCACATTTTTAATAAATTTTTATAAACTTTCATTTTAGAACAAAACAACTTATCATTGTACTGTTTGTACTAGGGCTAGCTTTCTCACCAAATCACATCTAGCAAGTACATATTATGTCACTCTATCTGTCGCCTATATTCTAGAAAAGTGGCATTATTCTATAATTAATTATTTATTTTGACTTATATTTTAATCCACTTTTTAAATTGAATCAAACATGAGCTATATTTAATGATATAAGTCTATTATCTATATAACTATTGCACATCCTTATTTTATTTAAATATTTATTTCTATAGTAAAATGTAATACTATTCCAAGTCGTTACTCGCATAATCAAATGATTCAGAATACATAGTTGGAAAATCATATTATATGTCATCTCAGTTAGATAAAGAAATAATAAAAAATACCAAAAGAAAATTATAACATTTCGATACCCTTTGATAAAAAAGAATCTCTAATATTAAATATATGTCTAAACACGAAGAAAGTTATTAACTTAAACTACCAACTAATAAATGATAATTTAATTACAAATTAATCTATTCTTCTCTGTAAAATTTGAATTACAAATAAATATTGTCATAGAAAAATTAAATGAAGGAGGGGGGCGTTGTGAATTTGACCGGAAGATTATGACAATAATGAAATAATCAATAACAAAATAAAGAACACAAAGATTCAAGTGAAAACCCAAGACAGGAAAAAATCACGGGCAGAGAAAGAGAAATATACTATAATTAATAGCAAGTATGTTTACAACAAGATCTCAATGCTCTCAACTAAGATCTAAAACTCCCAAGATGTTGTATGAATGTTTATGGGAACAATACAAGTCGTAGCTTATATATATAAACTCTAGAAATCAAATTGTTGATGAATAAGAGTCCAAAACACAAAAACTTGGGAAATATTGTCTCTCATGCAGGCAAATGGCAGGTGAGCGAAAACTTTCTGTTAAGAATTTGATGGTGTTGTTCGAGCAACTAGCTAGAGATGGGCTACGAAAATTAAGCAATAACTTTCTTTGT